GCAACCACTAGGAAAAAAGGCATCTACCTACTGTTCCTTTGCCTCGGCAGTTAAAAAAGGCTCACCAAAAAAATGACTGACCCATCATGAATGTGCTGCTCTCCCAACGAAAGCCAGCCTGTCTAGTCTACTGTGAGCTGGGCCGGTACCACAAGCAGGATTTAGCGTGAGGAGGTGTCAGCAGCACTATAGACACTCGGAGCACAATTGTCTCTGACTGGTGTATGTAGGACCTACTCTAGTAAGAGAGCCTGGTCTCACAGGTCCCACTGCAACAGCTGTTTGCATGTTTTGTACGCACACACATACACACACACACTCGCACAAACACACACATACATGCACGCACACACACACACATATGCACACACACACGGTCCCAGATCCAAAGAGCTTACAACAAAAACAGACAAGAGACGCGTAATTATCTCCACTGTACAGACCCAGAGAGACTAATGTCCAGCTCTACACAGGTATTTAGGCACCCAACTCCCACCGATTTTCAAGGCGTCTGTGGCAATGTCAGGAATTGAATTCAGATCTTCTGAGTTCCGCTCCAGGGCATTCACCGCAAGATCATCCTTCCTTCCCAGCTGGTTTTAAAATGGTTCAGATAAAGGCTACACCTGTTCTCCTGGCCTAGTGCCAGCTCACTCTCAATTAGAACTGATTTGTGTTACACAGGCCTTAAGTTACACCAGCTTGTAACAGCCACAATGTGCCAAAGCGCTAGCTCAGGACTGGTACAGCACAGTTCTGTCCTGAGCCCATCTCCCGCCCGCTTTTGGGTAGCCCCGACCCTCTTCCCTCCTCGCTGACAGCAAGGGACTATAAGGCATAGTAGACACCGTGTAAATTGTGCCGGATCACACTTCGCTGGAGTGGGCCGTACTAGGGCACTTAATGAGCTTATGCAGCCAAAGTACGCCAGTGGGCACCAGTCTCAGTTGGGTCCTCTAGTCTCCACTGTAATGTATGTGAAAGGGCTGCCTCTCAGCAGTAACCTACAAAGGAAGAAAGTAGGGACAAGAACAATCTCTCCTGGATTTGGCTACACCCAATAGATCATGGTCTTCAGCTTTCAGTCAGCTTCTATGGGCCCCTCAGTCCTTGGCCTGGCAATTGGGCCTGCCAAAAAGGTGGCCAGCTACTGCCAGTTGTGGTGATGGGGTTTGATGCAAGCCATGGATTGCAGCCACCAAGCAGTCATGTCAGTTCCTGTCAACCAGGGACAACGTCCAGCCACTGACCGAGAGGTGAAAGCCTCTGTCACCCATTACCAAGCCTCTGAGTCTGTCCCAGGGACATGGTGCTTTAGTGCTGAACACACCCTGCAATCTGCTTGCTGCTGAGTCAGCGTCTTGGCCGTTAGCCATTAACCCAGCTACTCTCACTACCTGGGAAGCTCCCACTGGCTGCTTTGCAGTGACTTGGTGCCTGTGCAAAGAAAACCAGAGGCTGGGAACAGTGTCCCATCCTCCCGAAGCTCCATGATTCCCAACAGGCTGAGAAAACATACAGGGAAACAGCATGGGGGGTGGGGTGTTGGAGGGAGAGAAACATAGACGTGGTTAATTGTTAATTATATTTAACAATGCATGACAGCGCAGATAACTTAAACCACCTTCCAAGTGAGTTCCCCCTGCCTCCCAAGGGGCAGGTCAAGGGTCCCGTGTAAACCTGATTCGAATTTGGTGTTTCTCCAAATTCTCAGGTCCTAAATCTTCATTGAGTGGCTCCCAAGCATCCCTCTATCCGAACTTCCATGGCACCTGGGACCCTAATCTGTCTCTCCAAATTCCCCAGTGGGGTCTCACCTCTGGGAGCTCACCACTTAGTCTTGCAACTCGAACTTTGGCATTGCCTGACCTCTGAGGGCTTAGTCATTGCAAACTTTACGTCAGCATCGCCTGACCGCTGAGTACTTCATCGCCCATCCTTAACTTTGGCATCACCTGATCGCTGAGCACTTAGTCATTGCAACCTTCATGTTCGCTTGCAGCATGTTTTTAATGGACTATTCAGAGGAGATGGGGAGAGGGACTGACTAGTCATGGCCCACGACCCTTTAGCCGTGGAACTTGCCTTCGCAATGGCTCCTAAGAAGCGTGTTCCCCGTCCTTGCCAATGCTGGCCCAGTCACCTCACCCAGTAGAACAGGATCAGGCAGCGCGTGGAGGGCCCAGCTAAATTGGGGCCCACCCCACTGAGTCGGGCAGAACGAAAAGGGCAGCCTGGCCTCACCCAGCCTTGAATTTAATGCTGGCATCTGCAGCTGTGGAAAGTGAGTGTGAAATGCTCCACCACCAGCAGGTTGCACTCACGGCCCAGGCCGTTGTGTGTCACCCCCCCCCCCCACTTCTGCACAGGTGTAAATGCCAGTTTAAGTTACAAACATGGGGCAAGCCAGCCCCACTGTGTACGTACTGCATTCTTCACAGGGATCACTGACGTTACTTATACATTATCTGCACCTTCCCAGCAAAGGTGCCATTTTCCAGTGGTTCTTTTCCCTCCCTCAGCCCTCCAGGTGTACGCCATGCGAAAGTGATGGCAGCATAACTTACGGGGCCAGTTCCTGAGCTGGTGTCACTCAGCGGAGTGCCACGGAACGCCGCTGTTTGGCACCAGCGGAAGATCTGGGAGGTTGGGATCATTGGGCCGGAAGATGCAGTAATGTAAACCCGGCTTCAGCGAGGGGGTGAAACAGGCCCCGGGGCACTCAAATCTCAAGCCAGTTTCGTGAAACTCAGCTCAGGAGAGCTAGCTAGCTAGAGATACCATCATCTCCCTGGAGTTTACTGAGGTGGGGGGGGGGTCTCATCCATCCCTGATGCCACAGAGCAGTTTTCCAGGTTATTCAGTGCAGTGGAGGGATGGGGAAAGGAGAAAGGATGGGGGAATCCAGGGCTGATGATCCTGTGTCCCCTGGAGCTACCAGGGCTTGTTCCAACCAGCCGGGCTGCCTGGTGAGAATTCTGCACACATACACACCCCGCCCCACTCACTGTCACACAGAGGAGCTGTTAGCTGTCCTGTCTCACACAGTAGCTGCTAACCACCGTGCTGTCACTCACGCTGGCATTGCCAGGATAAACAGCATTCAGCTCTGAGCCGCAGCGCGGTCAGCTACAGTTTTGCTGCTCTTCCACGGCATCGCAAACATCGCTGCATGGCTGTGACGCCAGGGACAGGACCGAAACCCCAGGCTCCGAACCAGCAGGATGCGAGGGCCCTTCGCCTCTCAGCACCGCTACACCAAGAAGAGTCACTTTACGTTTTAATCCTGAGCGCCCGCACCAGTGCGGGCTCATCCCTGTTACACTCAACAAGACTTCCCCATACAGTGGGCCCTACGCGGTGTCTCCGGCCTGTTTCAACCCTAGGGTATCTCAGCCTCCATTGCTCATTCAGCCCTCGTCCTCTGGTGGCAGAACGATGGGGCGCTGTGACCCAGACTTCCTGCCCACTACGAATGTGACTGAAACCGCCAACTCCTTTCGCTGAGCAGGTGTCACCGGCAATGGCAGGCGGTCACTCTTCATAGGGAACCTCACTGTTCCCAGTACCAGCAAGGCCCGGGCGCAGAGATTCCTGTCAAACCAAGGCCACGTCAACTGGTCTACAACCTCCCTGCATGCGGGGAAGAAAGGCAGCCAGTGGGAGCAGCGGTCAGCAAACCAGAGGGCTAGGGGCCTGAGGGCAGGTGCAGAAGCATGGGCAAGAACCTCTGCAATCCTTGTGAGGTAGCAAACCTGGAATGTCCCTTTAAGAGTTAGCTTCCTAACAGCAGAAGGGAATCACCCCTTTTTCTGCCTGCAAACCAACCCCAATTCCTCCCGCGTGGTTGTTGTCTGCAAGGATTCCCCCATTCTTGTCAGACTCTGGGCTGTTCACATCAACGATTTGCTGCGCTAGGTCACTTCGTATTGGTTCTGCTCTCTGATGGGACAATTACAACTTTTTGAGACTGGGAGAATAACAAATAGCAAATTAGGCGTATCTGCTAGCGCTCCTTAGGCGGATCATTCGCTGGTAAAAGCCTCCAGCTCCACAGATATTTTCACAACTGACCGAGACCAAGAGTTTAGCAGGATTTACTTTTTAAAAGACCTCGATAGCAAAGCTGGCCAAAATTTTTCATTAAAAAAAATTGTTTCTCGAAAAGTGCGGGGTCAGCCAAATTGAGACTGTCAAGGCAACTTGGTTTTGACCAAATTTTCGATGTTTTAACAATAATAACTGGAATGAAAGGAAACAATCGTTTTGGCTGGTAGTTGAAAACTAAAATGAAAAGAAAACAGCCATTTGAAATGAGCTAAAACTTTCCATTTCACCCCCAGAAATCTAAATCTGCCCCAGACATTTTGGAATGAAATCATTTCGTCTGGACTCTTTCAAGGAAAACATTAAATTGGATTTTTCAATCAGCTTTAATTTACCTCACACCTAGACTATCCAGCGTCATAATGAAAATTACTAAAAAATAACCAAGCATTTTAGAAGAGATATAAACCCCCCATGCTTCAGGGCACGATAGAACCACTATCCAGGGCTAATTAAAAATATCCCCACAGGCATAGTATTCCACAACTGTGAGGTACTTACACCTTTCTCTGAAGCATCTGGTTCCGGCATTGTTAGAGACAGGCCACTTGACTAGACGGCCCTTGGGTCTGATCCTGTCTGACAATTCCTTATATCCAGCCAGCATCCAAGCATGAATAACAAGGACCCACAAATAGCATTACAGTTTATCAACCTGGTCACAAACAACAGTGAATCAGGCATTTCCCTGCTCTCCCATGAATGATTTCATTCCCATTCAAATGAAACTTGGTTTTAAACTATGCTGGTGAAGGCTCTGGGGTTGGATGGGAAAAGTGGAGCTCTTGATTTGACCAGTGCCCACGAACCCCCGTGTCCTTTGAGCAGCAGTGTCCTGTCCCCCCCCAACGCCCCCTGTCCCACGTCCTCCTGCCAAGGTAATCAGATATGCGTTAAGCCCATTTTGCTTTTATTACCATACAGTAACGCACACTACAGCTGTTAACTACCTACGACAGGGAACACACGCACAAAATAAAATAATAAATTAAAATAAAAATTGTGTAAAAAAAGAAAAGGATTGTGTACATTGAGTTTCTCGGTTGACATTTTTATTTGATCTTGTGGCTGACCGACAGCTTCAGGCTGCGAGGACGGGCAGCTCGGTTCAGTTCTCAGGAGCGCAGGGTGGCTGCGGGGGTGTTTCCTCTGTTATCTGGGAGCTTTCATTTCCAAAGCGCCGCTGAAGGCCACCCAGTGGGCAGAACTGAGTGCCGAGGGAGGAACTGGTCCGTAGGCCTCTCGTTTGGCCCACGCACCGCGGTTGCTTTGTCTTTGTGAAATCTCTCCGGTTTTTGTTTTGTGTTGTTTGCCCCGTATTTTCCCCTCCTCCCCCTCGTTCCTCTCATTGGTTTATTTGCCAGCAGCCTGCCCCCTTTCTAGTCATTAGACGTGACATCAATGTCTTCCCCGTTGGACTGTTTGGTGGCAATCCGCCATCTATTGATGTGATGGGAACCTTTCTTCTTCTGGTCTGATTCGGGGCCTTCCTCTTCCAGCTTCTGCCTCTTGTATTTCGTCCTTCTGTTTTGGAACCACACTTTCACCTGGGCGAGACAGAAAGAGGAGGGGGAGTCACGCATCGAGAGGGGCCCTCTAGCTTTTCCTATGCAGGGGACCACTTTGTAAGAAAGAACTCCGCTCCTTCCCCAACTCCCCAACCCACCGCAGCCTGACTTGCCAGACAGTCCAGGACTTGGTCTTCCCTGGCACATTGTACATCAAGTGTATTGACTGTAATATATATGTATGACATATGTATATGCTTTTAGCAGGGAGTTGGACTAGACGACCTCCTGAGGTGTCTTCCAACCCTAATCTTCTATGATATGTACTGTAGTGCAGTGTAGTGTAGTGATTGTAACATACAGGTATGGTTGTGTATTGCATTGCTGTGTAGCGTAATGAATGTGTAGTATAGTGCAGTGATTTTGTTTGTGTGGTGCAGTGATTGATTGTAATGTAGATGTATTATAGGATAGTGTAGTGTAGCAGAGTGATTGTAATCTATAAGTGTTGTAATGTAGTGACTGTCATGTATGTGTAGTGAAGTGATTGATTGTAATGTAGATGTATTGTAGTGTCATGTAATAATTGTAATGTATTTTTACGTTGATGTAGCAAGTTAATCAAGGTCAACCCTCTATCCCACACCAGGAGTTTACCTTGACTAGCTACAGCTATATAAAAACTACAACGCCTTGTCTCCACTAGGATTTGACATGGAGATAGCCATCGGGATGCAAAAAACACACCTTTGGTGCAGTGAAGCCGTAGCTTATAGCTTATCCAATGCTGATCCCTAGGTGAAACTACAAACATTTGTAGCCTGATAAACATCTGGAGAATCTCCACATAGGCCTTTTCAAACATGTTAACTACCTTGAGATAACTGGCAATGAATTACAGGAGGTTAAAAACGCAAGGGGCTGGGCTACACTAGGATCTTCCATCGGTATAGCTGCATGGGGGGGGGGGGTGTAAAATCCCATGGGGTGTGAAAAATCCACCCCCCTAAGTGATGTAGTTAAGCCAACCTAACCCCCAGTGTAGACAGCACTAGGTCGCCAGAAGAATTTTTCCATCAACCTAGCTTCCGCCTCGGGTATAGGGGTTACCTACGTCAACGGGAGAACCCCTCCTGTCAGAGTTGGTCATGTCTACACTGAAGCACTACAGCAATGCTGCTGTAGCGTTTCACGTGTAGACATACCCTCTGTTTGTGGGCCGCCAGGAAGGGCTGTGCGGGCTTCTGCTGGGTCACGGACTGAGAGTCGCTGGCTGTTTTCATTTTCATTTCATTTATGCAGTGCCCAGTGGGCACCCGGAGTAGAATGAGAAGGGATGAAATACCAGAAGGGAGAGATTGGTCTTGGCTTATTTCTGGCCATACCCGAAGCCTACCAGATCTCCATCCCTGCTCTTCAGACCCAAGCTGGCGGGTGAGTTTAGAAGCAGCTACACTTTGTAGGTGCTTATGTGAGCCTTCGGCAGCTCTCCTGTTGCTAGTTTCAGCTTCCACAGTTTCAAATAGGGACCGCAAGGAAAGAGCGAAGAGGAACTGGGATGGCAACCCGGAGAAAGGTGCCCCAGTTTTGCTCAGCACAGAGCAGCCCAAGAGGTGACAAAGGGACAAGCATTGCTCAGCAGCTGTAAACTGCAAATTGTGTTGCTTGCGAACAAAATGTTTAAAAAAAAATTGTTTTTGACGTGAGAGCAGCGTCTGTGAAAGGTGTGAAATTGAAAGCCAGGGACAGCAAAGCCCTCCGTGTATCACCTTCAAACATATATACGCTGGTGGGATAAGTATCTCCACCCTGCTCCCTGCTGGAGGAACCATCTGTAGGAGGCAAGAGGAAAGTGCCGGCCAAATGTCCCTTCATAACCCGGGGGGAGGGATAGCTCAGTGGTTTGAGCATTGGCCTGCTAAATCCAGGGTTGTGAGTTCAATCCTTGAGGGGGCCACTTCGGGACCTGGGGCAAAATCAGTACTTGGTCCTGCTAGTGAAGGCAGGGGGCTGGACTCAATGATCTTTCAAGGTCCCTTCCAGTTCTAGGAGATGGGATATCTCCATTTATTTATTCTCTGCTCAGGAAGAATGTCCCTCTAGCTAAAACCCTTCAATTGTGGCTCACCAGACCTGGATTCTCTACTCTCAATTCTGCCATAGGCAAGTCACGTCAGTCGCTCCGTGCCTTAGTTTCCCCATGTGCACAATGGGGATGATGCTACTTCCCTACCAGGTGAGGGGTGGGGCGGGCGTTTATCCGCTGTCCTGATTTTCACAGGAGCTGAGCACCCAGCAGCTCCCAGACCAGCTAGTCTTGATGAGGCGCTCAGATCCTCCGGGATGAGCCTCGCTAGCGATACCACCACTTGTAACGTCGACCAGATAAAAAGACAAATGCCAGCAGCCACCTAGGGCAGGATTCAAACCAGCGACTGCAAGGTGAAAGGGCCCCTGCAGCTGCATGACAGAGTTACCAGGAGGGTGCTAGACATATGGCTGTGCTAGGAACGGCTCAGAGCTCCTGCAATGACACTGCTCAATTTCTCCCTTGTCTTCGCCTTCCTGTGGCGCCTTCGGTTCTATATCTATATTGATCTCTAGTGTGACTCTGCAGCGGTGCCAGGGAACCCCACCAAGCGTTCTGGGGACATGCTTTGCACAGCAGCTGCTAGAGAGAATAAAGTTCCGTTGTGTCATGTAGGCGCAAAGGGCTTTGCCTAGAACAGTGGCTCTCAATCAGAGGTCTGGGGGCCTGCGAGCAGGTTTCGGGGCAGGGGGAGCATTACACTCGCTGGGGCCCAGGGTAGAAAGCTGAAGCCCCACTGCATGGGGCTGAAGACTGGGGCCCTGAGCCCCGCCACCTGGGGCTGAAGCCGAAGCCTGAGCAATGTAGTTTCACGGGGGCACCTGTGGCGTGGGGCCTCGGGCAACTGTCCCGCTTGCTGCCCCCTAACGCCGGCCCTGGCTTTTATACGCAGAAAACCTGTTGTGGTAGCACAGGTGGGCCATGGAGTTTTTATAGCCTGTTGCGGGGGCCTCAGAAAGAAAAAGGGTTGAGAACCCTTGGCCGAGAACCCAGCAGAGCAGCTGGTACAAAGAGCGCGGGGTGTACAGTGGCTTGGAATAAACATTCACCGCACATTACAAGCCATCCCCCAACACCCATTCAATTAACAGTCGAAGGTTTAAGACTAAGCCCTGGTCCCAGTGAAGTCAACGGCAAAACTCCATCGATTTCCATTGGACCTGAGCGTGGCCCGTATAGGCGGAGAGGAGGGATGATCCCCTGGGAGATGGGAGACCTGACTCGTTTCCTGCTCTGCCACAGACTTCCTGCATGGCTGGAACACTTAGTCTCTCTGGCCCAGACTCTCAAAGGCATTTAGGCACCTAACGCCCATTGAATAAATGAAGTTAGGAGCCTAAATACCTTTGTGGGCCTGGGCCTCCCTAAAATGGGGATCATCTCTGTCTCACATGCATGTTGTGAGGATAAATAAGCTCGTGACCCAGCTCCATGCTAGACAGAGCCAATTCCCTCCCATTTGCTTTCACGTTTCAAGGGCTGATTAAGATACAGCTATAAAATCTGTGTCCCGGCCGTACCATTACTACACTGCTAGGCACTGCAGCGCCTAAGTCCCTTTGTCAAGCTAACCATGTGTGCCTCAGTTTCCCGATCTGTGCAATGGGGGTAATAGCAACGCTCTACATCACCGGGGTGGTGGGAAGATAAGCGTATCAAAGATTGAGGTGCTCAGATACTATGGTGACGAGGCCACGTGAGTACCTACATCTTCTACGTCGATGCAGAGTTTATCTGAAGCTGTCTGAGGAGGTTCTGTGGGTGGATGTGACTGGAAGAAGGTGAGTGGGTGGCTCTACACGGGGCCTGGACCGGGAGGGTGCTGAGGAGATGAGATGCCTGTGGCGCTGAGATGTGTGGGAATGCATTTGGGCGGCCTGATGTCCGGGGGGGATGAGGTGTGAGTTTAAGTTGGTGGGAACATTGCCTTAACTGGTGACTTCCTGGATTTTTAGTGAAATAATTTAGCAACTGTCATTGACAGTTAAAGGTTGTTGTGGGGGACTTTTCTGCTTTTCTTGGGCAGGGGGTGGGAGAGAGACATTTAGCAGTGCTGCTTATCAGAAGTTGAGAGAGACAGAGGGCAAAAACTGGGCAGGCCGGGCAGGCCGAGTGGCACACAAAGACAGATAAGAAGAGGGAGGCTGGTTAACTCCGGGAAAGCGGCCACATTTAACAACGGTGCTTAGAGCGCACTTCCACTCCGGAATGTGACTCTGGACAAATTGTGTCTAGATCTAATTTGCTCCGTCTATAAGCACAAAGATGAGCTTTTTTAATAGCCGGGCCGTACACTTGCCCTGGGAATCAATCAGGGTCCTTCTGGCTCACACACTTCACCAGCAGTTATCGCAGGAGTACAGTGTGTCGCCTTTTTTCCAAACCCCCGTTATCCAAATCCCTTCTTTGTCCCCCATATCCCAAGCTGGGGGACAGGGAAGGGATTCGGATAACGTGGTGGTTCAGACACCAGAGCAGAGACCCCCCCCCCCCCCGCCCCTCCCCGGCCAGGACTGTGAGGAGGACGGGGAGATGGAGCCCCTAGGCTGCCTCACTGCAGAATGGCAGAACGGCTCCTGCCTTCTCGATTATCCAAACTCCCGATTAGCCACATAAAACCTTGTCATTTTCGGATATTGACCGAGCTGTTTGCTTCCTCGTTAGGCACTATTTAATCTTCATCCTATTTATGTCCCCCATTGCTGGAGGATCTGAGCACTTCCCAATTTTTAATATATTTATCCTTACAAGAGGTAGGGAAGTGTCATTTTACACATGGGGAACCAAGACACAGAGATGCTAAGTGACTTGCCCAAGGTCACACAGGAAGTCAGTGGCAGTGAATGCCGCTCTGCTAACACTTTATCCACAAGACCACTCCTCTTTTTCACCAAGGTGTATGTCTGCATGCCACCCCCTGCTCTCTGGAGAGTCATGCATAACTACCTTT